TTTCGTCGCTTGGCAACGACGTTGTAATACAAGCCAATTCACATCGTGAGCTCGGCAACCAGTTACCGGGTTATTGTTTTACCTCTGTTTTTTGTTTGGCGGTAACCATAATGGTGGTCGAGTAGATCATGTTGTGCGGGGTCGAGAATCCTCACTCCGCGCAAGGGGGATGATCGCATCAAGTGCTAAAATGGTCAAGCACCCTCGAGGCAGTTACACAGGGCGTACAACTGTCTCTGGGAGTGAAAGCACCAGAAAATAAATTAAATCATACGCAGCTGTCATCCCTACGCAAGGAAGTAAGCACAAGATGCCGAACACCCTTAGCAGGATGCAGCGCACCCTTCATGCGACTCGCCGAATATCTCACGGCGCTTAGCGCGTGGTGATGTGAGAGCCCGGTCCGGTGAGAACCCGGCGTGCTCCGTCCCAGCTTTGTAGGGATGCGAAGTCAATGGTCTAACGACTACGGCATGCACGACTATGAGTACACCCCCTCCCCCCCCCAACGCTGCACCATTGCACCAACCCCCCACTAGTGATGACGTACCATTACAATGTATCGCTGGTTGGTGGCCATGCTTGCGTGTTTGCTTGTTCGTTATTGGTCTCTCCACCGTGTACCTTTTCCTGTTTCTTATTTCTTGTTTCGGCCTGGTCTCTTTTTGTCCTCGCTCGTTTTCGTTTTCTTTTCTCTTTCCTGTTTCCTTGTATTTTTCTCTTTTTCTCTCTTTTTCTCTTTTCTCTCTTCTTCTCTATTCTCTCTTTTTCCGTGTCGGATGGCCTTGTCTCTTTTTGCGTTGTGAAGTATCAAGATTGAACCAAGGGGGTGTACCTCTTTCTCTCTGAACCGTGATCCTGACTCCTAGTCTCAGTTGTTACCTCGCATATCGCGCAGAGGGAGCGGAGGACTCCAGAATATCTGTCGTTCATTTCTTTTGACTCGCGGACCCGTCGGGGCCAGCTTATTTGAGTGTACCTTTTTAGGGTTAGTTAGCCTTTGACCACGGGAATCGACCGCGTCAAGTGTTGGATCAGTACGGACATATGAAGGTTGTGGGCAGAGAGAGATCGGATCGGTTTTTAATGTGATTACAACAACAACAACAACTAATTAATGCATCATAGGAAATTCATTGCACTTACAGCTACTATAGGGCGTGGGAGGAACAGTAGGAGTGGGACGTTTGTATTGATTTGGATACGACCCCCCCAGCGACCCCATGTCTCTTCATTATCGCATCTTGAGGATATCGCACCATCTTGTCTCAAAGTATGTACGTCTACGAAGGATTCGGTATAACCGTGAATCCGTGGTTTGTGGAAGCGTTCCGGAAATTTCTTGAAAGAGCGGCGAGAGGCAAAAAAGGGTACACAGGGGTATAGCTATATACAGGGTGCAACGAAGAGAGAGAGAGTGGCAGAAGCTTTTGGGATCCTTGGGAAGCCGAGGACCTCGAAGGGAAAAGCGTTGCATCGCCCGCGAAGGCAGTGCAGCAAAGCAGCAGCGAGAGAATAGAGTTTTCGTTTGGGACTTGATCGAATTTGATCGAGTTTGTCCTAGACACGCCGGAGCGATGAACAACGGCAACAACCTGCAGCCAGCAGCCGCAGCCAGCGCAGCCAGCGCAACCTCCACCGCCTCCACCGCCGCCTCCAGGTGGACCACCGCCCGCAGCTAACCAAAAACAGAGCAGCGGCCGAAGCGGGAAACCAACAGGCGGCGGGACACAACAACGCGCCTCCGGCAGCAGGGGGAGGAGACCAGAACGCGGGCGGAGCCGCGCCAGCCGGGCTGGGAGGCCCACCTCCCCCCATCAACCCTGTCCAGCTACTGCTGCAGATGTCTGTACTGCTAAAAGACCAAAACGACCGACTCGGCAACCTGGAGCTCAGGATGCAGCAGCAGCAGCAGCACCAGCAGCACCAGCACCCGCAGGACCAGCACCAGCACCAGCAACAGCAGCCTGGCCACCTCCCCCCTGGCGGCCTCCAGCAGCAAGGTCAGCCCCAGCCCATCAATCTCCCTCTAGGTGGCCAGATCGTGCTACAGCCCCAGCAAGCGCAAGCTCTGGGCCAAAACATGAACGTGTCGAACCAGGCCCTCAACACCCATGTACAGAAAGAAAGGTTTCGCCGCGATACGAAGGCATGGGGAGACGAGTCCGCGGCGACGCTGCTTCTGCTGCGCGGCGGGTGGTTCGTTAGCACCACGCTGTCAAAGAACGCAATCGCCCAGCTGCTGCGCAAAGTGGCCTATCCCGACGCCGAAATGATCGATTCGCTGATAACCCTCGCCAACGTTGACATCGCCAAGTTCTCCCCACCCCTCCCTACGGGGTGGACCCCGCAGCCACGCGACTTCATCGTTCACCTCGAGACGTTCGTGAAAGCATTCTTCGCCGTGTTGGACCATGGCACACACGCCGCAGGCGAACCATCGACCGGTCGCAGGCAACAGTTAAAAGCCGAAGTCAGCCGCGTTGTGTCCAACGCCCGGGACTACCTCAGCCTTCATTCAGCGGAGATCACGGGTCAAGAAGCAGCGGTGAAGACGCGCCTGATCACCGACACCAACACCGACATCAACGAGTATCTCGGGAACGTCTCGGACTTTGGNCCTGCGCGGTCTCACCGCGGAAGGCAGCGCCAACGCCATCATCGAAAAGCTTAACAACGGCCTGGCCGGGCTCCCGCAGCCACAGAAGAGGAAAGCGTCAGCGAGCTGCGCCACGAGCGGACATACAGCATCCCGCCCGCGGATAACCGCCGCACCCGTCGCCAACCAACACGCGGTGGCGACACTGTCCTCGTTCCAGCAGGACCTCCTCACGTGGGGAACCCCCCACCGCGCGTGTCACTCCCACTGGAAAGGGCAAAAGTGCACCCGCCCGCACTGCGCCCTCAATCACGTACAAGTTCACCCCAGCGTCGCCCCCCCCGGCCCGCCGCCCGGTCCGCCGCCCGCAGCGCCAGTCCGGCCCCCCGCCCCCGCGACCGCCCTTGCCTCTGTCCCCGCCCCCGCCCCCGCCCCCGCAGCATCACGCACCGTGGTCGCCCGTTACAGCAACAACTACAGGCCACACGGAGCAGCAGGTGCCAACCCCTGACAATACGGGCCCCATCCAGAGGTGGGGCCAACGCGGGCGAGGAGGGCAGATGACACCACGGTAGCAGCTTTTGTAGACAGGAGCAGGACCGTGGCGCTAACTGAAGCGCCTCTTCCCGGGTTGGTGGCACCGAACGTGTTCTACGGTGAGAGAAGAAGTACCCGCCCGAGTAAATCAAGTACCAAGAGTGAGCAACATGAAATTACTGCAGAACCACAGCTGATAGACCCCTCTCACCAAGGAGTAGAACAACCGTGTACTCGTAGAAGTACCAGCCAAAGGAAACCACGCACCAATAGTGATGAACATGAAATTACTGTAGAACCAGCGCTAATGAACCCCTCTAACCAAGGAGATGAACAACCGTGTGCTAGACATGAACAAGTGAGAGAAAAAGACCCCCGTAACACGGGAGAAGAGAATAGACCCGGCGTGAACGCTGGAGAAGACCTCCGTAACAAGGGAGAAGCAGAGCCCTCGCACCAGGGAGAAGATCGCAAGAGTGCTAGACCCAATACGTGTACTGGAGACAAAGACAGAGAAGAACCTAGTGGGAACACTAGAGAAGACCCCTGTAACAAGGGAGAACCGCGGCAGCCTTGCCACCTCCTTATGGGAAGCTACTGGCTGAAATGTGGAGAGAACCAAAGGAATGCCTCGCACGTGGCACACGAATTGACGAAAAACAGGAAATCATCCACGAACTTGCGAAGACTGGTAGCATGCTTCTGAAAACGAACGACGGAAACTTGGGAGATGTCGCGAGGGCAATCGGCGGCACCTTGGTGTCACCGNCGGAGAAAATCGCAAGAGTGCTAGACCCAATACGTGTATTGGAGACAATGACAGAGAAAGACCTAGTGTGAACACTAGAGAAGACCCCCGTAACAGGGGAGAAGCAGACCCCTCGCACCAGGGAGAAGATCGCAAGAGTGCTAGACCCAATACGTGTATTGGAGACAATGACAGAGAAGGACCTAGTGGGAACACTAGAGAAGACCCCTGTAACAAGGGAGAACCGCGGCAGCCTTGCCACCTCCTTATGGGAAGCTACTGGCTGAAATGTGGAGAGAACCAAAGGAATGCCTCGCACGTGGCACACGAATTGACGAAAAACAGGAAATCATCCACGAACTTGCGAAGACTGGTAGCATGCTTCTGAAAACGAACGACGGAAACTTGGGAGATGTCGCGAGGGCAATCGGCGGCACCTTGGTGTCACCGCCGCTAAACCTGAGCGACCTCGAACAACACTTCGGAACCAAAAAACGCTTCCCAGACTTAACGAATCTCGTAGACATCATAGACAACGGTGTGCCAGCGAAAACACACGACAGCCCGCCAAACCTCGAGATCGCTCTGCGATACGGAAATCACAGTACGATAGACGCCCACATGNGCATCATATACAACGGTGTGCCAGCGAAAACACACGACAGCCCGCCAAACCTCGAGATCGCTCTGCGATACGGAAATCACAGTACGTTAGACCCCCACATGGTACTGGTGTGGAAGAAGCTGATAGACGACGTCGAGCAGAACAGATGCCTCGTATTCAACGTAGCGGACGCAACTTGCATGAAGGGCGTACGCGTCTCGCCGCTAGGAGCAGCGGTAGGAAAAAAATCAGAATCATCGACGATTTTTCTTTTGACCCCAAGCTGCTGCGCGGACAGAAGGGAGGAGTCAACGTCGATACGGTATCGGAAGAAGTTCCCGACTGTTTGTGCGGAGAGACTCTGCCTGCTTTCCTTTCTGAAATAACGCGCTTGAGAGTCAAATGGCCTGACAATTAGGATACTAGTGTCCACGGCGGACGTGAAC